CCTCACTTCTTCGGATGCATCCGAAGAAGTGAGGTTTTTACTCACGAAAGCTTATACCCAAATAAATCTGTTAGTCTTTAAGGTGCCACCAGACTCCTTGTTGTTTTTGTAGATACAGACTAACACGGCTACCCCCTGATACTTAGTACTGTGATAGATATCAGTGGTTAGGAACCACTGGTAAAAAGTATAATAAGATATCTGAGGTAGTGAGTTCCGTGCCAATTGTACCTCCCAAAACACTTTAAAATTACTTAGATAATAGCGCAAAGAAATGAAAAGAAAGACATTTAGTTGTGTAGAATCACAAACATATGATTGTTTATGAAACATTATAGTGTGCATGGCACTGCACAGACATAAAAGATAGGGTTCCTGCTCCAAGGAGCTTATAATGTGAGTTAAGGATCAAGAATCTTTTTGTCATGAATTTCCTTATTAGAAACTATGTAGTGTCAAATGCACATCTGAGTCATTTTTTGATGGGAGAAGGGGCCCTCTGTAGGTCTCAAGACTCTAGGTAGCTTACCCTCAACTCTTCTGTTCCCAATTCTCAAGGCTTCAAGTTATTAAAACCTCTCTAGGTGAGAAGAACGGGATGGAATATTTGGAGCCCATTGGTGTTACTCTGTTATCAGTCAAAGTCTGTCACCCATCCAGAGCTGAATATGCAGCCTCCAGTGTGTTGCTTGCTGGTTTGGATCATGAGAGACCAGAACTGGACCCCATTTGGCTTTCTCACAACTGTGCAGAGACGTTAGCACAATGCCACCAAGCCAGCTCAGTCTAGAGCATTTCTTATATATAAGGCTACGTTTTAGTCACGGGTATTTTTAGTAAAAGTCCTTTATATGGATAATTGTTCGCTGTAACACTAAAAAGGATAAAAACGTAAGAGAGCTATAAACCCTCATGCTTCAGGACATAAGCCAGACATTAATAGATTGAGGGAGGAGAGAGGAAAAAAAATTCCCTAAGAGTAGGTTATTCCATAATTATCCATTATGGGCTTTCTTGCATCTTCTGTTGAAGGATCTGATACTGGCCACTGTCAGAGACAGGATACTGGACTAGATGGACCATTCATCTGATTTGGTATGGCAAATTCCTGTGTTCCAACCAAGAGAACTCATTAATTATAAAGAGTCAAACTCTGCTCTAAGAGATGAATGTGCAACTCCATTTGAAGTCAAGGCAGGAGTGTGGGTGTATTGGGTCCTAAAACTTTACACTGGGCGAAAGGGAGTGTTTCCTGAGTATAAGCTATAGGACTTGCTCCCCATAATGTACCTCTTCCTCAGGTGGGGAACCCTAGTACTAACTACTTTCAGATCTTACATGTGGTACTACATATACTTGATGCTTTGAGGATTTGAGGATGTTTGTTCCATGCTAAATTGAAGTAAAGTATATAGTGTTACTGCATTTGTTATTTTCAGGAAATTACTACAATCAAGGAGAGATTCGTAAGAATGAACTTGTACAGAGTTGTGCTATTTTGGGGATCCCTCCTTCCAATGTAACAGTTATTGACCACAGGTAACCATTTTTTAATTATAGCAGAATACCATTGTTGTCTGTAAATAGGAAATATCAACTAATGCACCCTGGACTTGGAAATTTAGTAAAAGTTTAACCTAGTGTCCCATGCTGTGAACTTCATTATCAGTCAAATGGAAGTGTAGTGTAACATTTATTGGCTAACTCTTCAGTACTGTGTAAGGAAATCCAGATCATTTGGACGTGAATTCCAATATATCTTGGTGCTCAGATCAATTAATTTCAATTTCAATTAAGGCCTGTCCACAAAGCAACTGAAAACATGACAAGTTCCCATGCTAGTTGGGTTCTAGCTCAGTGGGTCTGGGCAGCATAGTTATATTATTTCCCCCCAAGTACTGTGCTAGCCAAACTGTTAAAGATGACCCCTCACACCAAGTCATCTATGAGCAAGTCTATGCTACAGATATCACTATATCAGGGGACTGGTTACAGCATTAAAATACAGCTGTTCCCTGACTTGGTTACAAGGTAGTTACAGCTAGTAGTGTAGATGGGCCCTTAACTATTCTCCGTAATCAAGCTAAAAATTTGGGCATGTCAGTTAAGATCCTGTGTATGAATTGGAGTTTTGTTGGAACTGGGCCTCTGGATATTTATGGTGTCTATAATTCGTTAAAAGAATTCCTCCTGTCCACACTGGTCAAGGGAACCATAGTAGCAACAACTGAGATTAAACAGAATTGTTGTTAGCACAATTTTAGCCATAGTGTGGGCAGGGCATTAGAGGCATGTCTGTGCTGACAGTAACATTGGCCAGATCCTCAGCTGGTGTAAACTGCTGTAGCTTAATTGATTTTAGTTACACTTATGCTGATTTACACCAGTCAATTGCACCTGGCCCCAGATTGTGGAATCATGTTCTAATGTGGTTTGATCTGGTCTGCATATCTGAGACCAAGTTATAGCCCTGTAGAGGCTGGGCTGTAGCAATATCCCATAACATATTTATAACATGGCATAGTCCCACCTACACATGCAAGAATGAACTGTGGTATTAGAGTCAAGACATCACCAGGTGATAACATAATTCCCTGATGCTATGGACTAGATGTCTGCACAAGATCCTTAGGCTATGTCTATACTTACAAGCTTACAGCGGCACAGCTGTGCTGCTGTAAGAGCGCTCCTGTAGCCACGTTATGCCGATTGGAGAGAGCACTCCCGTCAACATAATAAAACCAGCTCAACGAGTGGCAGTAGCTATGTTGGTGGGAGAGCATCTCCCGCCGACATAGCCCTGTGCACATGAGCGCTTATGCCAGCAAAATTTATGTCGCTCGGGGGGTGTATTTTTCACAACCCTGAGTTTTGCCAACATAAATGCTAGTGTAGACATGGCCTTATTCTTTTCAGTGCTGTGTGGACATGAGGGTAGATGATGAAGTCAGCCTTCCTGTGTTTATGATTACTTTAGAAACTTTCTTCTGGAGAGGCAGTTTATCATGCTGAATTAGTGAATCATAGAACCCAGTGATTGTAGAGACTCATTATGTCACTCATTACACCTCCATGCAAGTACAGGCTGATGGCTGATGCTAGAAATGGAGGAGAAATGTACAGGAAAACAATGAACTGGTGGTTGTTTTAGTTTCAAAGAACCATAATAAAAACAATAAAAAACATTTTTATTAAAAAACAAACAAACAATTAACTGTAAAGGCATGATTTAAACCCACAAAAGCTAGAAAAGCCAGACTAAATATCCAGGACGCAAGCTGACCTTTGTTCTTAACATGCAACAAATTATTAAACTATATAAGGAATAGCCAGGATGGATTTGTCAAGCACAAGTCATGCCACACCAACCTAATTTCCTTCTTTGACAGGGTTATTGGCCTAATGGATGGGGGAAAGCAGCAGATATGATATATCTTGATTTTTAGAAAGGCTTTTGACACAGTCCCACATGATATTCTCATAATCAAACTAGGGAAATGCAGTCTAGATGAACTTATAAGGTGGGTGCACAACTGTTTGAAAGACCATACTCAAAGGAAATTCACAGTCAAACTGGGAGGGCGAATCTAGTGGAGTCCCACAGGAGTCAGTCCTGGGTCTGGTACTACTCAATATTTTAATTCATAACTTGGATAATTATGTAGAGAGTATTGCTTATAAAATGTGCAGATGACACCAAGATGGGAGGGATTGCAAGCACCTTGGAAGACAGGATTAAAATTCAAAATAACATTGATAAATTGGAGAATTGGTCTGAATTCAACAAGATGAAATTCAATAAAGATAAGTGCAAAGTACTTCACTTAATGCACAACTACAAAATGGAGAATAACTGGCTCAGTGGTAGTACTGCTGAAGAGGATCTGGGGATTCTAGTGGATCACAAATTGAATATGAGTCCACAATATGTTGCAGTTGCAAAAAAGGATAATATCATTCTGGGATGTATTAACAGGAGTGTTGTATGCAAGGCATGGGAGGTAATTGTCTTGCTCTGCTCGACACTGATGAGGCCTCAGCTGGAGTACTGTGTCCAGTTCTGGGCCCCACACTGTAAGAAAGATATGGGCAAATTGTAGAGAGTCCAGAGGAAAACAACAAAATGATAAAAGGTTTAGAAAACCTGATCTGTGAGGAAAGCTTTAAAAAACTGGACATGTTTAGTCTTGAGAAAAGAAGATTGTGTGTGGGGGGGGTGGGGTCAGCCTAATAACAGTCTTCAAATATGTTAAGAGCTGTTAAAAAGAGGAAGGAGATCAAGTGTTCTCCATGTTCACTGAAGATAGGATAAGTAGTAATGGACTCAGTCTTCCCAAAGGGAGATTTAGGTTAGATATTAGGAAAAACATTCTAACAATAATAAGGGTAGTTAAACTCTGGAATCAACTTCCAAGGGAGGTTGTGGAATTCCCATCACTGGAGGTTTTTAAGAAGAGATTGGACAAGTACCTGTCAGGTATGGTCTAGGTTTACTTGGTCCTGCTGCCGCACATAGGGCTGGACTAGATGACCTCTCAAGATCCTTTCCAGTCCGATATTCCTATGGTTCTTTGTTTTCTCTTGAGTTAACAGGCCTGAATTCCCTGGCTTTTGAGGGTTTAGGTCTGACTTTCCATTTTAGTTCAACAGAGTTTTTTGGGTCAGATAAGATAAGTGTTTATTCCCCCTTTTAAGTGAATGGAGAGCTGCTCCCCTTCCCTTCTCTTGAGCTGCTTTTGGGTAACTCTGTTTTACAGTGTTGCCATATTGCAACAGTCAGTACTGTGGCAGGAAAAGACAAGTCACTGAAATTGGCAAAGTGTAAAGGAACAGACAATATCCTGTAATTGAAGCAAGTGTCTCTTAAAATTTACAAAAAGGATACTCAAAAAAATAGAAGTGGTGGTCCAGCTGGCTGGTGACTTCTCCAGTGCAATGTGCAATTGGTTAGTATATGATGCAAGCTTCCTGACACTGGTCACGCTTTCTCACCTATATATACAACCCAGAGCATTGTTTTATGCAAGCAATACCTTGGTTTCCTTAATAGATAAAGTGCAGGTAGTTTAAAAAGAAGAGCCTGGATAACCTCTCCTGATTACCATTTATGTAAAAAATGACTGATGTGTGATCTTCACAATGGAGGCAAGTGTCTGAAAGGCACAGAGGTAGGTATTAACTTGAACGTGAGATAAAAAATTAGGACCTTATCTGTAAAGACCTTACTTCATCATCAGATACTAGCAAATAGGCTCACTTTTTGCCAACAAGTTAAAGGGCCAACTCCTGAAGTTTTACTCAATTCTTACTCAGACATCAGATCCCTTTTTATGACCAAATCCTGAGTGCTGCAGAGCACCTGTAACTCACATTGACATTGTTAGAAGCTGAGTGAGGACTGAGTTAAAGACTTGAGGATGCTGTTTTGAATACTGTTGATACACAAGCACATCAGAGTTCCCTAGTGTGACGAGTTTACTTCCAAGGTGTATATTCCCTCATTTCTGTGAAACAAAATGGTTAGAGGAGCAGGAATTTTTTTAGACAGTTAAGGTTTATAGAGAAGCTGTTTTGTCTTGCTGTTAGAACGAGGCAATGGGAATAAGGATTCCTGAGTCTTATTCCAGCTCCACCAGTGATTCGCTGTGTGACTTTGGGCAAATCATTAACCTCCTCATGCCTCAGTTCCACTTGTGTAAAATGGGGATTATAGTAAAAGTATTTACCAGTTTGGTGTGAGGTGAGGCTTAGCCTCAGATGGAAGTCACTATAGCAGTACAAAGCGTTATTTATTATTATTACCATCACTATTGCCATTAACCATCCTTGAAATTCTATAGCTACAAAGGAGGTGACCTTTTCAGAAGGTTGCTCCTCTTTGGCAGTGGGTAAATTCTGAGCCCTTCTGTATTTTGTGCTTTCTTCCTAATTCTGCAGAGGAGAATTTCCCATAAATGTAAAGAGCGCCTGCTTGACACAAGGACCAGGGCAGGCACACTGCCCATTTTGCGTTCCTTACCCAAACACTGCATGCTTTACATTATCCAAGCTGCAAACTTGTATTTTGGTAAGGAAAAGGAAAACCCAAAGGATTGCTAGGTCTGGATCTGCTCCAGCCATTGTAGCATAGAGCTGAGTCATGCTACTTCCTCTTTCTTTGCATAATCTAAAATTGAGTTAGTAGAATTTTCAATATACAAAAGGGAAGCATATTTGAAGTGTAAAGTTGAATGACATGCTCAGTGTTCTCCATGGCTAGGGTTGCATATAAAGCCATACATGACACTTTCTTTTTACATACTCACACAAAACCTAAGCATCACTCCATCAGCCTAGAGTGGAACGTACACCAACCTCTCATTAGGCAACCCTCTGATCTTAAGGAATCCTTTAAACTAGCCCCAGGATTTCCAGGACCGTGTTTGTTCAGCATTTTAAAAACATCTATACTAAGCAACTGCTTTCTACTGATTTTTGGGTGGGCACTTAAGGCAATTACTGTACATGCTTCCTCAGTTAAAAACAGCCTAAATCCAATA